CCCCCCTAGCATGTTGCTGAGCACACACTAATGTTTCTGCGGCGTACATAGCAGTTTGATATCACAACTGCTGGTCGATCTGACGATAGTTCGAACCACCCAAGTTAGCGGAAAAACGCGCTGCACTGTCTTCTCAACATGCTTAGAACGGCTAGGGTTGCACACCGTCGTGCCTTGACACTGTCTACTGGGTTGTCGCTCTCGTACCACGATGAGGTGCCTGAGTTGGGATTTTGCCCAATAAGTATAATCAAATTTTTTAGGCGCAAAAAAACTTACATGACTATCAGGAATAGAGTAGATCCTTCTTAACACAAGGAGGAAAGCTAGCAGAGCACGTTCACTTTGTACAGAATGCACCAGAGACTGTAAGAAATAAGTGGAGGCTTTCCACTTAACATGTGATCGACCACTGTAACGTCCAATAGCCATTTTCAAACAACACCTGTTTTGACGTATCTGTACGTCTAGCAATGGAAAACGCTCAAGTTCAAGCTCCATTCCTGCAAGGTTAGTGACGCATCAGGCTCGCCGGTGTGGCCATGCATTTTTGAACGGCCTCATCATGCAGACAGTTCGCTTTTACTACTGGCCTGTGACTGCGGTGTTGCAAAATTGGAAATCTGATGCGCCTGTATGCAAGACTCACGGCTTAAGTAGAAGTTCATTTTACGCTTGTTGGCCCTAATATTAAAAGCAAACATCCCCAGAAAAATACTGCTCCCTGCCCAGTCTGCCTACTGAGTTAACTAGGTGCCAAAAATATCCAGAACTGAGCATTCACTTTAACACAAGCGAGATTTAGGCAAGCTGAATTTGAAATATTCAGATTGACTTGGGTAAGCTGAATTTGAAATTTTCAAATTAAGTTTCAATTTCCTAACATGACTGGCTGGCGAAATCGCTTTTCGTTTATACCTTTGGTGCATCCGAAACCGCGACACAGACGAACACCAAAGCTCATTTTATAATTATATGCCCATTTATGAGAAATAATTATCCACGTGAAGTGAAGTAAGCGTGCCCTATTAATCAGCTTAGCTTCGAGTTGGGATTTTGCTACCGATGATGAAATCCAAATCTGATCTGCCTGCACACGTGTGACACAGGCCTACGTTAAAACTGAATTTGAAATCTTTAACTCGTACAAGAACATAGAACATCTCTGTGAAATTTCAGCTTCCTGCCTGCTCCGGTCCCTGAAATCGCTGTTCTGTTAAAAAAATTTGCATAAATTCTTTTAGACACCAGTGCATGAGAATCAGACGTACGTGGACGTTGATTTTAAGCTAGTTGAATGACACGCGGGCAAGGGATATCTGAGCTTTCTAGCTTCTGTGGTTGTTGCGTTGAATGTTGGTCAAAAAAAATTCGAACACATGTATGCAGGTGGATCGACGTCTTTTTGACATCCGTTTTTATGCGTTTTTGCATATATGCAAATTGCAAAAACGCAAATCCCGGCATGCACCAGCACCAATTTACCATTGAAGCAAATGAACCAGCTGCAGATGATGGCCTGGTTGTCCCAATGGTAGAGCCGAGACCTCGACCCTCTGTACAACAGCAGCGCTATTTGCCACTGCGTTATGCGAAACAGCGCGCGGTCTGCCTTACCAGTATAATGGGTACATTAACGGATCTGCAAACTTAAGCAATGACGAGTTTGAAAATACAAAATAGGTAAGAGAAAGTCTCGACTGCAGCAGAAACAACCGCTGAAAACACCTGTACACACGGAAAAGCAATAAGAATCATTGAAATTTATTTTGCTAATGCAACCGTAATTTGTTTAAAGTGAATTTAAAAAAAGGCGGAAGTGGACAACGGAGATGAATTTTTCTGGAGTAGCGCCCAGGCAACGGTATGATGACTTCCTTCAAATGAATGTACATCGGCAATCGGCGAAACGAGTTCCCTGAAAATTCGAAGTTTCGCAAAAAAATACATGAAACCAAGAATGCCATGACCGCCAGATGGACTACTGAAAAAAGTCCTACGATGGCAAAAATCAGGGAAAATTGCTGAAAACCAAGGATATCAAGACCATTCGAGAGGTAACAGTGTGGGCAATTCATGTTACTGAAGTTAGTGAGATGTTCCCCATACATTAGGCGTAATCATGCAAGACACTTCGATCCCAGGCTACATATCATAAGCCAGTACCCGAAATCTGTTCAATAAAGGTGCATTCCACGGTCATTTTGTTTCCCATGAACATCAATCACTAAGGTGTACAGCCTACTAACTGGAAGATCCT